AGAGTTACTGCCATAAATTAATTATTCATTTGTTCAACTGGATTTATCAGCAACCATTCACAACACATCTCAGGGGCCCCTGTGGCTACAAGTGCTGGTTATAAATCTAAGTACAACTAAATAAATATTGCAATCAAAAATATTTTTCAGAGCATTTTTTTAATTTGTCTTATTAGTCATAACCAATTCCTGAGCCTGAATCAAGTTAAGCTTACCTAAGTCAAGTTGCCATAGGTCATCCAGGCGAGCACCACACATTCCGCCAAAAACATACATTTTAGGACTTCCAGAATCTTTTTTGCAATATATAACAGCTGTGTGGGATTCTCTTGGAGAAGGCACAACCCCTTTAGTCACGGGAATGCTCCAACCCACAACACCCGAACCATGCTGTAGCTCCAACTCATAGAAATCATTTAAATATCTAGGATATCATGAAAGAAATTAAAACATTCAGATAATATATACCCTTTACTTGCATTTTGTTTCTACTTTTAAAGAAAACGTATGCTCATTGTGAAAAATTCATATAGTACAGACAGGCATTAGGAGAGAGAAACCCCAGACCTCATTCATTCAACACATACTTATCAAACACTACTATGTACCAGGCACTGTTCTGGGGTTTAACAGTAAACAGAAGAAATTAAAAAAAAAAAAATCCTGCCATCATTTATACAATACACTCATCAATGACAACTATGGTGGTTTTAAAACATAGCTGCAAATCCTCTGACACTCTTCGCATCAGGAGATTGGGTCTATGTCTCCTTCCCTGGATTTTGGGCTGGTTTGTGACTGCTTCAATTAATAGCGTATGGTGAAATGACACTGTGACTTCTGAGTCTGGGTCATAGAAGGCCAATACAGCTTCACTAGAACACTCACTCTTGAAATTCTGAACCATCATGTAAGAAATTCAACTCCCACAAAACCACCCTCTGGAGAGGCCATATGTAGTCACATACGGTATAGAGCCAGCTGAGTCTGTCCTAAGGCCATCTCAGTTGAGGCACTGGATATAGGAGTAACCCTTTGATTATCTATTGCTTTATAAAACTTTAAATTCTTAAGACTATTTTATTCATCTTCTTATTCCCATTACCTTGACAGTGGTGAGTGAATAGTTCTGAAGCTTTGAGTCAACAAATAAGAAATTTAAACCTACTCTTCTTAGCATTTCAAATCCAAAAAGTAAAATTAAATCAGCTACTTTATGTTCTTTTTTTGTTGTTGTTGTTCAGAATGTACATTTTTGGTGGATGAGTTCCACATAAAGGGGGAAATATTGAGATTTCACCTCATGATCGTGAATGGAGATGTACCAGTTCATTTTCTTATTTAAATCTGGGTGAGTCTTTTAAGAGTTACTTATTGAAATAAAATTATTAGCACTTTATTTTGTTGTTTAAGAACAACAGATTAGATAGAATTGAGAGTCCAGAAATAAACCCTAACATTTATGGTCAATTGATTTTCAACAAAGATGCCAACAGAATTCAATGAAGGTCAATGGTGTTGGGACATCTAGATATCTACACATAAAAAGATAAACAGTTATTTTACCCTATATATAAAAATTAACTCAAAATGAATCACAGATAAAAATATAAGAGCTAAAACTATAAAACTTTTGGAAGAAATCAGAGGAAAAAATCTT